TTTCTAGATCTCTTATACATAAAAATGACGATTTTCTATAATTAAAATAAGTTATAAAATCAGAAAATTAATGTGATTGTTTAAGGTATTAAATGTCACATGCAAAAAAATTTAAGTGGACTTAATTGGACAGATCAAAGTATTTTTTTTCTAACTAAATATACCTGCCAATTTCTCTAAATAAACAATCACATTAATTTTCTCTCTTTTCCCCTTAATTTATGTGATATTACTTTTTTTTAAGGTTATTTCGAAAAGAAAGTTTTTCGCAGTCCTATATTAATTGTTCACTTTATAATATATAATTCTTCCAATCATTTTGATCTCATTTATCCTTAAAATTATTCCTTTTTTATTTTTGTAAATGTAATAAAGTTTGTAAACCTTCAGAAAAAAATTCTTTAAGTCCAAATCAATAAATTTATCATTTTTATTTTTTATTTTGTATATGGAAAGGGCCTAAAATACCCTTGAATTATTGAAAATGGTACAAAATTATTCTTCATCCGCCTATTGCTCCAAAATGCACTTTTCATTCACCTATTGGCTCAAAAATACCCTTGTCATCCTCCTTTGGGTTAAAAATTGACCACTTACTTAACGATCAATTTTTAACCAAAAGATGGATGACAAGGGTTTTTTTGGACCCAATATGTGGGTGAAGAGGGTATTTTGGAGCCAACAGATGGATAAAGAGTAATTTTGTACCATTTTCAATACTTCAAGGGTATTTTAGGTACAAAATTACCCTTCATTATAAAAAAAAAAAGAAAAGGGCCTAAAATACTAGCCAAAAAGTAAGTTTCCACTCAATGTTTCAAGATCCCTAAGAAAATTCAACACAAAACATAACTTCGAAATAAACAACCAAAGTCTCAAATCATACATCATTTAAGAACAGCCATAAAATGTAAAAACCCTCTCTGTTACCAAACAGAGTATTCAAAACATTCACAATTCTATGTTTCCAAGCAGATAAAATCACCTTAAAGAAAAAGAAAAACGCAGCCTTACTACTCCATCAACCAAAGGTCTCATTTCTGTTTGTCCTTCCAAAACATTTTAGCTAAAGATTAAGAAGGATTGTGATAACGATACTAATCAACAAGATATAAAACTTCTGCTTTAGATTATAAAAGATAGTCAATTAGATGAAACAAAAAAAAGGGCATCTAAGATAGAATTCTCAAGTAATATTGTTGTATGTTATTGAGTTTTTTGTTTTGTTTTTTTGATAACCAAGAAGTCCTCGAGGGTCAATAGTGCACGGTTCATAACTCAGTGGATGATAGACCCGCCCCTTTACTCTTCTCCACTTATATACCAGACTTTTTGTCTACGGTAGGGTTCGATTAAGCTTGTATATATATGATTATATGGAAGCTGCATAAAGGAATGGGATACGTTTTGACTATATTGGAAAAAGACTGATTTATGAACAACTGACCCCACCCCCACCCCACCCCCCTTTTTTTCCCTTTTCTTGTTTTTAGTGATATTTTTTCTGGGGTGTGGAATTGTAACATTGAACTTGTAAGAATAATATTGTTGAAATTCAATTTCAACTTATAATGTATATTGTACCATAATTTTCATTGAAAAATGTTGTTGAAAAGGATTATCTTTTCCATTCAAAAGGGGTATTGTTTATTAACCATTGAGATCAAGGGATTTGATCGAATTTCATTCTATCTCACTATTCGGAGCAATATGTCAACAACATCGTCGACTCTCATAAAACTACTAGTTGAAATTGACTATATGAATCCTCACTATTCCATTTACGCTCAACTCATGTCATGTTCATATCAAATAAAAAAGAATGCACAATGACCATGAGGACCACAATGAATATATTAAAATGATCAATAACCAACCAAAGTGTCATCCCATAGATCATTCAAAGAACAGACATTGAAACAGATTAATCAAAAACATACATCAAGATTCACTTATGTTCACAAACTGATGGTCTTCACGGTGGCAAATGCAAAATAACAGCCTTACTGCTGTATCAACATTCTTTTTACGATTTCAAACATTTTAGCAAAAGATTATGATCTGATTAAGACTAGTTTGTTCAAACATGATCGTAATATGGATTCTAATCTACACTATACACAACTTCTGCTTTAGATGATGTACGCTAAAATTTTGTTACCTCAGCGAGTACTTTAAAAGATTCTCTATGTTCCGTTTCATAGGGCCTGGTTATCATTCTGACCAATGTTGGAGACATGGCCAATAAAACCTTGATAAGCTGCATTTCAGCTGCAACTCCTATTACATCATAAATATTTACTGTCCTCAGGTGATTAAATGTCATATCCGATAAACTTTCACGAATATCATCAAAAGACTCCCGGCGCGCTTGTTCAAAATAGTTCTAAGAAAGATTAAGAAAAACAATCAGCCTTGATTTAAAATTGAATATCATAAGAAAGTCAATGCATACGAAAAAGAGAGAGAAAAGTAAACATCATTAAAAACCTCGATTTCAATTTCTTCTAAATTTGGAGAGCTTCTTATCAAGCAAAGAGAAAATTAAAGATCAAAGAATACTCCTAGATTAATGCAAGATATGTGAAGGCATTTAAGATAAAAAAGAGCATAAGGGAGCCGGTCCAATATACACGTCCTAGGATGAAAATGTCGAAAATCAGGATGACTCAAAGTTATTAAAATGCAAGTTATGAAGCTATATTACCTGAACATACTCGTGATTTCAACAAAGATTCTCGAGAGCTGGAATAGACTCAAAAATCTTGTCAACATCATGTTCTACCTCTACCGAAAATTCTGTAGGCTCATATGAAACTTTGGAAAGAAGAGGGACATTCTTTAACTGTAAAAGCTTTATATTGCCAATGAAGATACTTCAGCTTAGGAGCACTAATCTCAATGTGATTTTGTGATCGCATCATGTTGCAACACCAAATGCTCAAGCAATGGTCAATGTGAGATTACACTTCCAAGTAATTCAGAAGAAATATTGACTTCAATTAGTTCAAAGCTCATTAACCAATCAAATACCTCAAAGACCGGATGAGGACGTATTAGACAGTCCTTGAGAAACAGATGCCTCAATTGTGAACATGTAAAAAATGCAGAAGGCAATTCATATGGCTTACTCCTAAATGGAGGTTTAAGGACAAGATGTTGAATGTCATTCCTAGAGAGGAAATAAATCAAGTGATATCAAGTCCTCTGTTGTTTTATAAAGTATTTGATCAAATTTCAGCTGCGGAAGTCTATGCCAATTATATCTCCATTTCCTTGATAAGATGCTTGTCCTCACAACATTTCGTAAAGGCAACCTCGTTAGACAGTCATCAATTACACTATCAGGAAGGTTGCTAAGTACATCGCGGAGGTAAAAGTTGTTTTTCCCATTTGGAAGCATAACATCAAATGACTACTACAACAAGAATCTGCAGAAAATAAACAAGACCACAATATGTAAGGAATCTCGAAATTGTACGGTTAGAGTACACACTACATAGTTTACTTGTGAACTGATAAAGAGATAATTTCCGAAAGACCAACAGCTCAAGTGTATCAAATCCAAGTAAAATAAGTGCTGCTTTAGTTATTCAAAACTTAAAAACATATTATTCCCATTTCAATGTAGTGAAAATCCTAATTCCGCCATTACTGAAACACATCCATGATAGATCTACACCTACCAACACACCATGTCCTTGAAAAACATTAACTCCATCAAGTTTTGACAAAACCCCACTTCAATTTCATCATATTAAAGCATACCCAAACAATAAAAATGCAATCTTGATATCAATACTCTATAGAACAAGAACCATAAATGGAGAGAGTTTGTGTTAACAATGAAGAAAACAATAAGTTAAAGAAACAGAGAAGAAGAAGAACCTGAGAGAGGATGAATGTGAAGCACTCTGATCTTTTTGTCTTCTCAAATGGAGGTGTTGGAAGAAACTGAAGAGACAAGCTTTTGAAAATATTTTATTTTGTATGAGGATGAAAGTTACAATTTTACTATTATAGTTTCGATTTAGAAGTTAACATTTTATTTTGTATTGAACGTTGAAAGTATTTTCTATTCATGTGAATTTTATTATTTTTCAAAAAATTGAAAATATATTTGATCTCTTTTTCAATCACCGTGTAATTATAAAAAAAATATAAAATAAATCAAAAGAATAGTCTAAAGTCGAAAATAAAAAAATCCATCTTTATATGATTTGATTTAGTTTTTAGAACTAATTAAATAAAATAGTTAGTTTAGGTTTTTTCTGATAAAAATGTAAATCAAATCGACCTTTGTGCCCCCTCATTTGAAATAAAGAGAAAATTTGATTTTGTATTTAACAACTAAAACTTCTTTTTTTCGTTTTTCTTAATGATTTAAGAGTATATATATTAACTCCCAAGTAATATACAATTTCTCGTTTAAATATTTTGTATATCATACGGTCATCTTACATGTTAAAGTATGTAATATATCTTATTTAAGATGCATCACATATATTAAAATAGAGAGAATATATATAGTACAAGAAAAAATTAAGGAAAAGTTATCAAGACACATTTAAAGTTTTATTTTTTTTCCTTTCGCGAGTTTTATATGTAAATCATCATGTGTTTTTAATGTTCTATCTGAATTAGTTCGTGATAGTTCCAACTTCCAAAGCCATGTCTTATTTCATAGATGGATCAATAACAAGATTGTCATGAAAAATCTTTGTTAGTTCTGCTAACACACAACATAACTTCAAAATAAACAACCAAAGTCTTAAATCAATAACAAGAACGAAACGAAAAACCATCTCTGTTCCCAAACAGAGTATTCAAAAACATTCATCCAGGTTCACAATTCTATGTTTCCAAGCAGATAAAATCTTTATAGTACCTTAAAGCAAAGGCAAAACACAGCCATGCTACTCCATCAACCAAACGTCTCGTTTCTGTTTGTACGTCCAAAATATTTTAGCCAAAGATTAAGAAGGATTGTGATAACGATACTAGTCAACAAGATACATAACTTCTACTTTAGATGATGCCCGTTGAAACTTTGTTATCTCCGCGAGTACGTTGAGAGATTTGTTAGTTTCCATTTGACGAGGCTTGATTACCATTTTCACCAATGCTGGAGACTTTGCCAATAAAACCTTGATAAGCTGCATTTCAACCTCTTCTAATAGTACATCATAAAACTTAATTTTCCTCAGATGATTAAATGTGATATCCGAAAATCTTGCAGGAATCTCATCAACAACCTTCTGGGGCACAGATTCGAAATAATCTCCATCACTAAGGATACATTCCTAAGAAAAATCAAGAAAAAAACCATCAAGTCATTACATACGAATATAAAAACATGGAAAAGATAGAGAGAAAAATACACATTAGTGACAACCTTGATTTCAATTTCTTCCAAATTTGGAGAGCTTCGTATTATGCAAAGAGCAAACGAAAGCTCAAAAAACTGTCCAAGAGTAATCCAAGACATGAATAGGCATTTCAGACAGTTAAGAGCTGATGGAAGCCTTGTTGGTATAACTTCAGTTGATCCATTATCGACCTATGAATAAAATGACAAAAATCAGGATGAATCAAAGTCTAAAAAAAAGTACACATGAAATTGCATTACCATTAAGTAAAATGAAGTAACATTACCTCAAAAAAATCCCAGCTGAAACAATCAAGAGCAGGAATAGACGAAAAAATATTGACAAAATCATCTTCGTCCTGTAGAACTAATTCTCTAGGCGTATACAGAACATTGGAAAGAACAGGGACATTTTCAAGATGTATCAATTGTATATCTCCACGAAAGACAAATGACCTTAGCTTCGAAGCATTAATACTCATGGGGTACAGATTGTCTATGTCTTTTAGCACCAAATCCTCAAGCAACGGGCAATTAGAGATCAAACTTTTAAACGTATCAGAAGATAATGTGATAGATTTCAATGTTAGCCTAATCAACTTAATAAACCCCTTTATGAAACATGGAATCTGTATTTCACATTCCTTGAGATACAAATGCCTCAATATTGAAAAAATAAAAAAGAAGTTAGGCAACCTGTATGGAGTATAAGTAAATGGAAGTTTAAGGACAAAATGTTGAAGATGATCAGTGTCGAGGGAAAAAATCAAACGATCAACATCAGGACACACTATTAGACCAATAATATTAAGGGTGACCTTCAATATTATTCCTCTATGAAACCTGAGGAAACTATCAAGAATTGGAATAAATCCAATGGTAGGGGACGTCAAGTCCTCTGGTACTTTCCACACTGTTTGATCAAACTTCACATGTGGAATTCTCTAGCAAATATATTGCCAGTCCTTCGAAAGTGTACTAACTCAAATAACATCTCGAAAAGACAACCTACTTATAATGTCATCGATTTAATAAATGTTAAGGTTGCTAAGTCGATCAGGAGAAGGTAAACTAAGTCCTTGTTCATCCGGAGGCATGACAATCTGTAGAAAGTAAACAAAAGTACGATAGGTAAGGTCAAAGTACACACTACACGAACAACAAACAAACATGTCACAACTCTAAGATTAAAATAAAAGGTGCATAATAAGAGGCAAATGAAACCTTTTTCCATGTTTAAAAAATGCTAAAGAAATTATTTGTAGCTGACATTTGCATTAACTTCTTTAATCTGCAACTCTTGATGTTAATTTGTTTGGCTTAGGTTAAATCAAACACATTTAAAGTATTTTTGCATAGAATTTGAAAAAAATATAGACGTTTAAATTAGTGATGTTATACTTGTTGTACTAGAAATTTATAGTATTGAGTGCTTACATCAAAATACTATAGGAATGACATGTGTTTGTTGTAACATTATAAATGAATAGATAATACTTAACACTTTCTTTAGCACTAAAAGTGTCATTTGGTAGTATATATAAAAATAGTTTGTATGAAATTTTAGTACAATGTTTGACCGTAAATTTAACTCTGGTACAAATAATACTAGTATTACAATTAACCTCTTTTGGCATATATGACCCCAAACATTTGTTCTACAAGGATTTTGAACAAGCGTATTTGAGGCAGAAAACGAAATCAATCTCCCTTTGCCCTATCTTACGCTACTATAACTTTCGTGATTGAATCGAGTGGAGGTATTAACCCTAATGAACATAAAAGGACCAATTTATAAGATTCCACTGAAAACGTTATTGTTTTTATTGCGCAACATATAATCTAATAAAATGATTAAGTATATTGAATTATTAAATAAAATATAAATTATACGGTACAACTAATTTATGATATGTCATTATCATATTAGTAATATTAGTAGTGAATGCTTAAAATAATTACTATGTATAGCTTATCTTTTTATTTCATAGAAAAAAAGTGCATACACACAACTATCTACAATTTGATTGTAATATTAGGCATTTATAGGCTAATCTTCATTTGCTCAGATAAATCACGACTCATCCAAAAGAGGATAACTATTTGGTAGTTTTTGAATAATTTTTCATGTATAAGTGTATTTGTTTCATTGATTTTTCTTCTATTTTAATCTGAGAAATTGTTACGGACGGCTATTGAGAGAATTAGATCAATTTTAGTCAATCATATTGTGTCAAGATAACAAATAGTTCAAGATCTAATTCAAACTAACTTAATTGGATCAATGTGAATTGAGCCTAAACAGAGCAGATAATGAGTCAAGATTCAACTCAACTCAATTTTCACTAAGTTTAATTATTTTATTTGTTCTTTTGAACATTTTAGTACACAATAACATTATTGAAAAAGTTATTTTATGGATATATATAAAGAATTCATACTACTACAAACTTCCTACTTTTTCATTAGGGATGCTAATGGGGCAGTGTAGGGTGGAGCGGTGCGGGTTGAGCTTAAGCCGCAAACATTTTAATCTGCCCCGCATAGTAGAACTTTTCATTTTCAATCCGCCCTGCCATGCCCCGCCCGCCCCACATAGACCTCCCCCGCATGAACCTGCCCTGCATAATTTTCTTAATATTGTCTTTTTTTTCTTTGTTATGTTTGATACAAAAAATAAAATTCATAAAATAAATTCTTTTTTTCATTAAGTTGTATAATTTAATAGGATAGTGACTTTAAATTTTATTTTTTTAGAAGTCAATTGAGAATCATGCAAGAAATTGTATTATTTTTTATTGAGTCATTTTCAATTATTATCTTGAATATTTTAGTAGTTTTAATGAAATTATCTTAATAAATAACGTTCTACCATTCTATAACATGTAAGAAGTTAAAATTAAGTTAGAACCCACGTAAAATCACATATACCCGCAACTCACCCCTCCCCACATTAATTAAAAAGAAATCCACTTCAACCTGCCCCACATTCGACCCGACCCACATAACATTAAGCCCACCCCGCCTCACATAGCCTTAAAGCTACCCCGCCCTGCATACGGTTCTCGCCTTATTGCCATTCCTATTTTTCATGGTCTGCTAAAAAAACGGTAATCAAATTAGTGGAATTTAAACGCCTTACAATGTACAAAGCCATAATGTTGAGGAATTTAAAATTTATATATAAACAAACAAAAAGCACTCTTATATATATCATATAAAGTTTTTGTCAAGAAAATTCAAATGAAATACAGCTTCGCCCCTTCTAGATTCGCCCTTGCATAAAAGTGGCTAAAATTGGAGGAATTTTGTGTCTATAATACTAAAAAATGATATCTCCTGGTATTTTCTAGATCTCTTATATATAAAAATAATATTTTTTTATTAAAAAGATATCACCAAATCCCGAAAAATTGAATTTGTAACTGACCTATAAAATGAAGTTTAACTATTTTGAGGTATTAAATATCACATGCAAAAAATAATTAAGTGGAATGAATTGGACATATCACATCAATTTTAATCTCTTTTCCCATTAATTTATGTGATATTTGCTTCTTTTTAAGTTATTTTCAAAAGAAAGTCTTTTCATAGTCCTATATTAATTGTCCTCTTCATTATACATGATTATCCAATCATTTGGATCTCATTTATCCTTAAAATTATTACTTTTTAATTTTTGTAACTTAATCAAGTTTGTAAACCTTTAGAAAAAATTCATGAAGTGCAAATTTGTGAAATTTATCATTCTTAATTATGATTTTTTATAATGAAAAAAATAAATAACTAAATTAAAATAAAAAAGAAATATTTTATCTATAAATTTATAATCGCATTAATCTCTAAGATTTCTATTACATGTCACATTTCAATTTTTTGTTCATTTTTTAAATTTATATATGTCGAACTAATAGTATCACGTAAATTGATACAGATAAGACAATACAACTAAGAAACGTCCATATTAATTGCCCCCATCCACCCACCCCACTCCATATTACATTTCTGTAAAATTTAGTTTAGGAAGAAAACCTCTCCCCCCCCCCCCATCTTTAGTTTTCTCATTCACTCCGCGGTGATTAATTTGAAGACTTCAAAATCACACAAATTTGTATTCAGCAGCTGAAGGATAACGTGTGCGCAAAAGGGTATTTGATACTTTTCTAAAAAATTTTGGATGTTTACAGTATCAGTAATAATTTTAGTTCTTGATAAGCTTAAAATTTGCCTTCTTGTTCTGTTTAAAATCAAATCTTTCTCATTTGGGTGTTGTTAATTTTGTGAAATAGAAGCCCTATATTCCTCTCAATACTTTTTTTTGTGGTAGATTTTGATTTTCTTGGGATTTTGGAATGTAGAATATACCCTATTTTCCTTTCGGTTTTTTTTTTTTTTGGTTTTTTTAAGATGTTGGTTTGTTGCATGAAATTTCTTTTAAGTCGAAGGGCTATCGAAAATCAACTCTGAAACCCCACAAACAAAGTTAGGAGTAAAATGTTGTGTACATGCTATCCTTTCTAGAACTCTGGAAACTAACTTTCTGTTTGGATAAGGAATTAATCCAAGTTAGACCAATATGTATATATGTTGGACATGATCCTTCCTCCCCTATGATGAAGAAACTCGAGAAGCATCACCCAATTTGGGATTCGTGAGTTTATGTTTATTTCGAAGTTATGTTAGGTGTTGAATTACCTTAGGCAGTGTTGAAACATTGAGTGGAAACTTACTTCATGTCTGGTTAGTAGATATTTCTTGCTTGTTAAGATATTAGTCCAAGTTAGAACGAGAAGTATGCAAGTTCCTTCCTTACGAAGAAGCATCACCCAATTTGGGATTCTTGAGTTGATGTAAATTTCGAAGTTATGTTGTGTGTTAAATTCCCTTAGGCGAGCTTGAAGTATTGAATAAAACTTAGTTTTGTATGGTTAGTAGGAATTTCTTGTTTGCTAAGGGATTAGTCTAAGTTAGACCGGCAAATATATATATGTTGGACATGATCTTCGAGTTTCTTCTTCATGGATGAGGAAGTATCATGGCCAACATATATACTTGTCAGTTTAACTTAGCCTAATCCCTTAAGAAAACAAGAAATTCCTACTAACCGTACAAAAAGTAAGTTTTCATTCAATACTTCAAGCTCGCCCAAGAGAATTCAACACACAACATAACTTTCAAATAAACATCAACTCACGAATCCCAAATTGGGTGATTCTTCTCGTGTTTCTTCTTCATAAATGAGGAAGCATCATGTCTATACTTATCGGTCTAACTTGGACTAATTCCTTAGCAGACAAAAAAAATTCTACTAGCTAGACAGAAAGTAAGTTTCCACTCAATGTGTCAAGCTAACCCAAGGAAATTTAACACACAACATAACTTTGAAATAAACATCAATCAAGAATCCCAAATTGGGTGATGATTCTTTGAGTTTCTTCATAGATATTGAAGGAGGATGGCCATCATACTTCTCCGTCTAACT